TAGAAAAATGTCTAATATATCAACGAGTACAACAATTAAGTTCAAGACATTGAGGACTACATCAATTATTTTTTGAATTTTTAGGGACTAAAATGAAACTTATGAATGCTTTAAGGTCAAATCTTGTAATGTGACGTTGTAACTTCCAACATCTTTTCCAACAACAGAAAAAAGAGGAAAAGAAAAAGAATGAAAGAACAAATATGTCCGGCCTGTCATCCTTAATCTATGTCCATCAAATGAACAATGCGTAGTTGCGTACACGTACTTGTTATGCATCTGCATTACTTACCGAAATGCAGCAAATATTCTGAATCTGCATTAATCATGCATGTATATATCACTCTCACGTATTTGATCAATATCAGGAATTTAAGTGCCTCAAAATCACATAAAACTAAAAGTAGTATGATTGCATATGGAAACAAAAAAACCTAAGCTGCTTTTGATAAAACTGAAGTCTCAAAATTGAAATACGAAATGTGAAATTTGAAGTCTCCATCCGTTAAGTTACTGAACTATGAAATACTAAGGCCCTGTTTGATAACCCAATTCAGCACTTAAATTTAATGGATTCAGATCTTAATATATTCAGACTCTTTGATAACAAAAAATTGAACATCTCAATTAATTAAGTGGCATTGAATTTCCTAGGCAAAACTTGCTCCCAAAATTAAGTGATAAGCTATTCACTTATCACTGAATGTGATATGCACTCAAATGTATTAGATTTAATATTTAACAATTCAATAACTTAATGGATTCAGACTTTGGATTTCAGATTTTAGTGTTCAGGTTTCATTTTTATCAAATGCACCCTAAATCTGATACATTTAAATGTATATCACACTAAGTGATAAGTAAATAGTTTATCACTTATTTTTTGAAACAAGTTTTACCTAGAAAATTCAGTGTCGTTTAATTCATTCAGATGTTTTATTTTTTTGTTATCAAACGCATATGAACCCATTAAGTTTAAGTACTGAATTGGATTATCAAACAGGACTTAGATTTGAAAAAAAAAAATGAAATAAAGCTCCACAAAGGCTGGGGTGGTGAACTTTTAAGCATGTTTATTCCATATGGACATCATATTTGCACATCCATGTATATATAAATGGGCAAGAAACATGAATGATGAAGAAAGCCAAACATGAGATTGGATATACAATGGGAATTCAGGTTAAAACCGTGAATAATCAGTCCCATAATCCCATAATATTTCACAGTCTGTATTCCATTTAGCGGGTAGTCAACTAATGCGGATAAGATAAGGGGAAGAAAAACAGAAATCCATCAGCATCATGACCAAATCTTCCTATTATTGGTGTTATCCGAATGGTCACTCCATGTGATTCGCACCCAATCTCAATCCAACAGATCTGTTGAAATTGAGATCAAGCAAATTATATTTGCTTCATGGAGCTGCAGAACCCTACAAAGTGGCTTCCAAATTTTGATTTGTCATTCACTCATCACATGATTTCCGTCCTCTCAAACATAGCTCATATGCATATCTTTAACTGTCCAAATCTCTAATAATCTGTCCAGCAAGTGTAAAAGGATTGTCTAAATTAATTTTCAGGTGGTAGTCCACTTCAAAGTCGTGAATTTGAAGTTGAAAAGGTTTCATAAATACAATTAGCTCATATTTTTGAATTTAAGGACGTATTGATTTGCAAAAGATTTACCTACCAATGTCTGAGAAGATTTATTAATATTGTACTTGAAATTTATTGTTCTTCAATTGTTGTAACAAATTAGAATAAATGATTATGTACCTTATGGTTGGTTGGTGCTGCTTGAATTGTCCAATTTATTTAGGTCCACTACCCCCCAACCCCAAGGATTCTTTTTCATGTCATCATCATTGATGCACCTAAAATTTGGACTTAGATTTTTTTTTTTGTTTTAAGATTTTTATTTCTCGTTGAGAACCCCATTCATTTTAACTAAGATAAAGGTCAAAATAAAAAAAAAAACTATAAACAACACCAGTAGACTAAGTGCAATGCTAGAGGTAGAGGTCAATGTTTATATATGTAGTTGAAGGTGAAGGTTCATCCCAACTAAGTACTTGCTATGTATCAAATCTCTAATTCAATTTTGTTGTCAAATTAATTATAGAAATAATTATCTGTTTGTATTAGTATATTGCTTTCTATTTTATCTAGTATATTATCCCACGTTATATTATTATTATTATTAACTTGTAAATATGTTTTAGACAACGTCTAATATAGCCGCCCGAATAATTGAAGTCTCCAACGCAAGAACCTCTGTGGGTGCTTATGAGCACGTGGACTTGAACTTTTTCGTCGCGATGTCCCAATGGAAAATAATCCATACTCATGCAACTTGAGTTATGGATAATCTTGAAACTATTCCATTGTGGTTTTAAATATTGATGAAGAAGTCGATAACAATAATGCCTAATGTTCCTTCAAATCAAAATTCTAGATAAATAATCAAATAAAGAAATACTGCAACAGTGGATTAGTTAAGTAAATTAAAGCATTAATCTTGTGCTCTTCAAAAAAAATTTTAATAAACAGGTCGGAATCTACGTCTAATCCCCCACCATTTTTCGGTGATTTCTTTAAAAAAAAAAAATCTTATTTTCTACTCATACTTTGATAATACATAACTTTTTTTTTTAAATGCCCAGCCATACATGGCTATGTTTAGAACAAGTATATATGAATTCGGTCATTTTACCTGTGACAAGTTCTTGAAGCCTCAACTTCTTTTTCCCCCTAATAAAGAGGTTGGCAGAAAAAAGTATTTAATTTGTGCCCCCCTCCACAATTAACACACTGCTACGTTTCAATATGACTCGAGGGCAATGCAGGGATTAAATTTTGTGTTCCTCAGTAGAAGTGATATTCATTGGAAAGAAAAAGCAGTCGGAGCTATTCAAAGACTAACTAATAAAAAGGCACATAAATCCACACAAAAGAAGATGAAACCATAGCAAAAGGTGAAGACAATGACCTTTAGAAGTCACAACAAGAAGACACCTACGTAGACTGTAGAGGAAGAAGAACTCATCAAAAAGGCAAAAAAAAAAAAATTTTTTGTAAGGAATTAGAGAAGCACCGGTTATATTTTCTCTTTGTTGCTTTCTTTAGTGAATGTCTTTTTCCTTTTTTTTTTTTTTTGTCAAATTCATTTTCTGGATGGTTTTAAAGTAGAAGTAGCCCTTTCTGAACCCATAATTATAACAAGGAACCAACCCCTACCCCTTTCCAATAAAAAGCAACCACATAATAGAGACGAAAAGTCAAGAAAGTGGTATTCAATTGCAATTTGAGTCGTGTGGTTATTTATAGGTATAACAATTGTGGTGATTTACCAAAATATAGCCCCTGATTTATTTTTTCCCCCTTTCCCCACCACCCCTCGAAAGAAGGGGAAGCAAAATGAACCAGATCTTATGGCCAAGGTTTTATGGTGAGCTAATATATTAGGCTTCACTCTTTGAATTCTCAAAGGATGGGGACTGATCTTTTGAACTTGTGTTGTTAAATTATGTACTAATAGATGTGGAATCTTTAAATCACATAGTTGAAGTCATAATCTCGTCTTTGTCAAGCATCTAATTACACATCCCACCAATAAGCATGGAATAGCTATTGGATTGTCAAAATCCAACCAGAAAAGTTGAACATAAATATATTGATAGCTACATGAAGTGAAATGTTGAGCTGCTAAGATTTTAGTACTTTTTCCTTTCCTCCTTTTCCTTTTTTTTTTTTTTAAAAAAAAAAAGAGATAGATGAATATATTATCGGAAAATACATGCATCCCCTTTATAACATTTCCTGCACTTCCTCTTTTTCTTTTTTCTTTTTTTTGAAAAATATTTTCTCAAAAAGAAAAAAAAAACTAGCCGTGCTCTAACTAGTGCTGCCATAAACACAATATATATATATATACACCTTTCAGATTAGATATCAATGATTGTGGCACCTTTTCACTGGCCCCCGGTGGTGGGAGTATCAGAAATTGCATTGGATCAGACCATTCCTGAGTTCCAGATGCTGGTCTTATAACCTTTCTAGGATGCTATTGGCATCAAACAATAACATGCAACACAACAAAATGCTTAAAGAATTATGCCCACTTGCTAGGAAAGGCTTATTCTATTCTTGAAAGCATACTTGGGACAATTATTCCATCAACCCCTCAAAGTATCCTTTACAATTAATCCACAACTCATGAGCTTTCCACAAAAGGGCTTCCTTTTCTTTTTTAATGAATAGAAAAAAGTTCACCATTGTTTATAACCTAGGAGGTGATAGGCTTTTTTAATCTATAACAAAAATTTACTATGTTATCGGCTTGAGCTTTGATCCACCTAAAGAAATATTATAGTAGAATTAAAGTGCCTTTTACACGATCATTATCTTTGTATAGTATTCCACAGACAACAGATTTTAGAAAATGACTTCGTGTTTGATGTAATCTTTAACCTGGGTCACACACTGACGGGCACACACACAAAAAGCCAAGAAGCACTAATTGTGCTGTGATAGATTTTTGCAAAATACTTGAAATTGACATAAACAATGCTTCGAGTCAATGCCGACACCTGAACTAACTAAACTTCGAGACAATAATTTTTTCTTACTTCCTTTTCTCCTTAATTTTGTTAATAATCAAGAACCAACTACATAATTAATTAACCAAAAAACAAGGGAGTTGATCATCTAGGTCTTTTTTTTTTTTTCTTTCTCGAATTTCCTCAACAATCATGATTTTCAAAATTTAATTATCGATCATTTACGAAGTAGTGCTCCCATTTACCAACATAGGCTAGAGATGTTTTGATGAACAGATATATATATATTATCAAGAAATATTTCAAGAAACTAAAATACGTAGAAAATTTTTTTAAAAAAGACTTGAGTAGAGAAGGTCTGCTAATTGATCTCTTTATAGAACTCTAAAACTCCACAGCTCTTGCATCCATCCACATCACAAGATTACATAATCTCTAGATTACCGGAATTTGGAAAGCTGTAGTAAAGATTGAACAACATTACATTCCCAGAGCCTGGCCTATTTTATGAGAATTTTCTAGTGCTACCAAGAACCTAAAAAACAAAAACAAAAGCTCTTCAGTCCAATTCTCAAACATGAACAACAGAAATTTGGCAAACGGGATCCTATTTTTTACTCTTTTTACTTTTTCATATTCTTATATCCTTATATACAAAATATGCAGAAGAAATAAAAGTGAGTTCAAGATTGAGAACCCTAATAATCTTATACTGGAAAATTTGGAAACAAAAATAAAAGGAAAAAATAACCGGTGATTACTCATGGTTCACTTGATGTCTCACAAATGCTCTCTAAGTGTGGTCTCCAAATGCCAGCACGGCCTCTCCTTCGATCCCTTTGAGTTGATATCTTTTCTGATAAAATCTCGCTCAAATACCGATCAGAAAGGAGAAGATTTGTCATGGAAATACTGCTATTGTTATTACTATTCGCATTATTTTGATCAGCAGCCTCTCTCTTTTTCCTCCTTGATGATGATGAGGATGATGATGATGAAGATCTTGAACGCGAACTCTTCTGATTCTTCTGAGGAGCTGAAGGAGGAACTGGCATGAGAAAGTAAATCTTCCCACGTTGGAGTTCTGCATCAGGAGGAACTATAACAATCTTAGGACAACAACCTTGATCTTCTGATGATGATGAAGAAGGCTTCTTCAGAACATGTTTTGGATGCAATTTCATGATTTCTGATGCTTTGATGCTTCCACTAATCACTTCAACTCGGCCATTAGTATGAACTATTCGAATCACGTCTAGGGCCCCGCATGGAAGAATGCAAGATATGCAGCATCTGATGGTGTTCTTCATGGCTAGATAATAAGCTAGTAGCTCCTTCTCTTGTCTCTTTTTCTTCCCTTCCTCTGTAGTATTTCTCTCATGAGAGAGAAGGAGAAGAAGAAGAAGAAGAAGAGAGAAGAAAAAGAAATGGAGGAAAGAGGAAAGAAATATAAGGGATGAAGAAGAAAGATAAAGAAAAAGAGAAGTTTCTTTTCTTAATTTTATCTACAATGACACCACAAAGGAGGAGGAGAAGGAAGAGTGGGGAGTCAATTAGCCACAAGGGATGTTTTTTAAGGGGGAGGTTTACAGTTTGTTGTCTTCCTTTTGTACTGGAAATTTTGTTTATGCTTTTCTTTTCTTACTCACTTGGGGGTGAAATCCATGGGATGAATCATTGCACCTTATTCTGTACTTCGCCTTTTGGATCCATCATTCATTCAGGGCCCTGATAACCAGCCCCCCTGCTCTTGCCAAGGTCTTCACCGAGTTCAATAATTTGAGTCTGGCTATGAAAGGTTGGAGGTTTATGGTCACACATGTTTCTCCATGATTGAAATTTGCCAAGTCAGCTTGGTGGGATCATTTTGCCAGACAAGTGCAATTAAGGACAAGTGTTTAAATCAAGAATTGACACCTGTCAAAACACAGTTGATTTGGCTGGGTTTGAGTAGGTGAGGAGGCTATGTTTGTAGGGTCATTTTGGTTGAGAATGGGATAGACTACAGAATTAGACTGGAGGAGGGCTCCTCCTTAGGAAGAGGCAAGAAGAAGAAGGTGAAGAAGATGGAGAGAAAGTATTGGCAGATGAGGATTAGGAATGGAAATGGAGATGAAATGGGGCACATTGAGAGGGAGAGAGATCTTCTCGTAGTAGGAGCTAACAATCTTTCAATATCTCCAAGCAAGCAAGCAAGATCATGTGGATTTGTGGCTTTCATTGGAAAGTGAGGTGTGATGGACTACTTTTACTTTTTCTCAAGTGGATTTAGGTTTGTGAAGTGCTTTGACTTGTGTGAAGGTATTTGTCCTATTGACCTATATAAGATGAATTTCAAGCCAACGTTCTTTGTGCAAGTGCTATTTCAATAGTGGTAATACTAGTTCAAGTATCAAGGTCCGAATCCTAATCACTGTTACCATGAAGGACTTGCGTTTATTGAGTGTCTTGTGAGTATTAGAAATGAACTACATTTTCCTATACTTGTCCTCCAAGAGAAATTTTCCTTTGTTTAATTTGGGACAAGCATTTTGAGACTGCAATGTTAATCCATATTTGTTTTCAAGGCTTCTTATCCTAGAGATATGAACTAGTTTTCTTTTTTTCCAAAGAGACCAAGGAATGATCAATCTAAACTTTTGCCGCATGTGACTATCTAGACAACTAGGAGTTGTAATTTTCAAGATCAAAAGGGACAATGCCATGCCACACTTACGTAAACCTTTGCAATTTGATCATATGAAGCATATGATTGGGGATTGAGCTTTCAAGATTGATAATACGACTCGCATTTTTAATAGACTTGCAATTTTTTAATTTTGAAGCTAAAGAGTAAGGAATTCAAATGTACGATGATGACAGAAAGAAAATTGTTTGTCCTGATCATTTCGAAGTGAAATTGCTAAACAACTGATTTGACATCTATTACATCGTCTTATGGACCATATGCTGAGTGGGCCAGAAATTAATGAAACTTGCTAGCAAGGGAAAACAAGTTAATTAGTTAAAACAGTAGATAAATGGGATGGGGATTTGCTTGTTAATTTCAGTAGTGTCCCATCCAATAGCTGGCCCAGTCATTAAATGGTTGAGATGTAGATGTTAGTGGGCATCATGTGAGAAGTATGGAAAAGAGGGTCCATGAAGGAAGAAGGATCTTCTTGCTATCTTAGGGTGACATCAATAGTATCAATATCAAAACAAGAACTTCAAGATCAAAATGAAAATCCAAAATTTGATTAGATAGATTGTGGTAGCATACATGATTATGTTTACAAAGTCATGTAGGATAAAGATTCTGAGCTCAAATGTCTCTAATGTGTAAATTGTAGTTGAAATATATGCTAATTTATCATGTCATCATGTATGTATAGTTTATCACCATTGAAAATTTTGTAGGAAAAATTGAATATTGTAGCATTAATTTTCATTTTAAGAAATGGGATAGTGGATTAATGGGCAGTCTGCTGTTTCAATTATTGAAGGCATATATATATATATATATATATATGAGGTTCTTGGACACTTCTTAATCATCTCCCATTGAAGAAGTAACAAAAACTAGGGAATTAACTGACACCCTTTATCCTCACATGCCCATCTCAGACTGGTCTTTTCATCTTTTTCTCAGAAAATTCTCTCTGTTTCTGTGGTGTGTATTCCCCCTCTTCATTTTGTTCTTCTTCCTCCACCTCTCTGAACATAATAATAAATAATATTTCCCCAACATTCTCAGAATAACCACTATGATGTTGAATCAGATAAGGCGCAATCATTTCATGCAGGAATACTATTTCCCTTGCATCATTTCATGCAGGAAAAACCACTGTAATTAATGAGGTTTTGGATTTTGGATTTTTTTTCATTGCTAAATATATGGTCAACAACAGCTTGGTCTTATCTGCATATTTGATTATATTCAACTGAAAGATGACTTTTGGTAATGTTCAATCCGTGTCCAAGAAATAATGCACACACACATATAAATATATATACATATACATACATATGTTTTGGCACCCTACTTTTTGCCACAAAAAAAAAAGTTTTATGTTGTTCAAACTTCATTTTCTTCATATGCTTTTCTAAAAATTACAAAGAAGACAGAGTCCAATTAATAATAACTGGACCGGCATTAGGAATTGGATAAATAAATATGTTGGATGATGCGTATGGAGAGGATCTTCCTTGTATTTTGGGTAGATGAGGTTGATGCAAAACACAAACAATGGTGGTCATTTTCTCAAGAAGATGAAACAGCAATTGCAGCAGACATGGTTATCAAATTGAGGAATGGGAAAGGGATCGCCAAAAATTTTTGTGCTTCTTTTTGACTTCGGCTTCTGCTCCTGATCCTACTTTCAAGCATCCCTTGATTGAGGTAACGCAAAATTTAATATGTGCATAAAATCTGGTAAAATTGATTTTTTAAATATTAAAGAGGCTATATAGACGACAAATTCCTTGATTGAAAAATCATGTGACAACAACAAATTCCGAAGGTCTCATTGCATAGAATTAAAGGCCATCAAAATCAGTCAACAACATTATTCTTAAAGAAATTCATGTTAGTTTGTTTGGAGACCAGCATTTTTATACATTTTCGTTTTAGTTCTATAACTTTTATAGTATAATTCGAGTTTTTTTTTTAAATTTCTAAACTAGTAGATTTGTTATTCTGCAGTTCAGCCACTTGTCTCGTTTTTTTTTTTTAATAGAGAAAGCGTGGAATTTAAGAAGCAGGGAGGAGACAGAGAAATATGAATCCAAAATTTCTAATTTTTGAGATCTTAATTTGAGCCACCAATTTTGACAACCTAATGCATGCAAATAAAAACGGAATCTAGAAATGTAGACAACATAAATAAGTAGTAAAAATCTACGTCAGGACGAGGGAAAAAAAATGCCAAATGACCAATTAGGTAGGTTGGATTTTTGAGATTCAACTTTTTTAGTTCGCTAGTGTATGCTGAACACAGTTCAGTCTTAATCAGAAGCCATATATAATATATAACGCATTTCTAATGCTCCAATTGTTCGTTTACACCAATAAAGGAGTGTATTATTGTAAGTTCATGCGACAAAAGTAAATTTAGGTAACTGTTTTCCGTGGACAAGGCAAATTAACATGTGTATGAGTTTTTAATGAAAATTTTTCTAAGGTACAATAGCAAATAAAAATTGTTCTCTTCCTGAAGGCTGGAAGTAGTGGTACAAACGAGTCGAGTTCAATCTAATCAGGTTGAGTTTCAATATAATTTTACGAAACTTGAACTTGAACTCGAACTCTAGGTCGACGAGATCAAAATGTCAAACTCGAGTTCGACGAGTTCAAAATGTCAAGTTCGAATTCAAACTTGAACTCGAGCTTTAAAAAATAATTATTTTATTTTTAAAAAATAAATAAAATAATAATTTTTCTTAACAAATAATAACATATTAGAAATATATATGTAATTTTATTATTAAAATAAAAAATAATATATATGTATAATCGAGTTCGATCCGACTCGCGAACTAACGAATTTAGTATTTTTTAACTTGAGTTTGAGCTCAAGTCGGAGCCGCTCGCGAGCGGCTCGATTTGTTTGCAGCTCTAGCTGGAAGAACACAATAGAAATTTCCAGTTCAACTGATACATGATTAGAATTGCAATTACTTACTTCAGTTATAGTGAAGTTAAGCAGTAATTTAATTTGCACTCATCAGATAGAGTTGAAAAGGCCCAACTCAGTGAAAGTGCTCAAAAACAGATGATGACAAATATTTCGGCAAAGTTTTCTCCCACTTGGGTGAGGACAATCAAGGTGGACTGTCGGGGACTATCACAAACTTGGAACATCAAATGTCATGAAAGACATTTACCCCATTTTCTGATTTTCACCCTTCCTCCAGCCAAACCTAGGTGAATAGACAATTCTTGAAAAGACTAAAGAAGGTGCTACAGCAACAAATGTTGTGTCCTTTTTATTTTATTTTAGGCAAAACTATATAGCTTGTCATTGATAGGGAAATGAAATAGTAGTGTATATCACAACTGCAGATGCTACTCGTTATTGTTCCCCTCTAAAGATTCTACTGTCCCTAACTCTGCAAAGCTGGATTTTTCCTCCAAACAGCTGCAGAAGATGGACAACTAACGTTACAAGGTTTTTTAGGTGTCTCCAAATAGCTCACAATTTAGGCTGTGTTCTTGCTTAGTTTTTTAGAGGTATATCACATTTGCGTTCAGTGGCAGAGCTAGGATCTTTCCTTAGAAGTGCAATAACTTATAGCCTGAATTTACATTATGTGGTTTATGGATTTTTGGTGCAGCAAAGTGTTCGTTATGAGTTAATAGACACGAGTCAACTCTTGCTGCTACAATGCTTCAGAGAAGAGATCAGCTGCAAGAATTCTTCTAGTCTAAGAGCATTCAACAGTACATGACCAAGAGTATAAGAAAGGGCTACTGATACATTGACATCAATATAATCCTCCTGTTCAGTTTATCCCATTTGTTATTATCAACATATTAATCATTTGGTAAACTGCTACTCCTGCTTACCATAACTCAGAAATTGTCCACCCAAAGTACATCAAATAAGAGCCTTTTTAATGGAAAGGGTGTTAAAAGGGTCTCTTCTCCTATGGTCAAGATAACCAAATAGTACCTTACTGAACCCACATGCATTGCCACCAAAAGAGTTGAGCAAATGATATGACTTTTGAAAGTGGACAAAAACATATGCAGGAACCTGAGTACATTCACATCCATTATTGTCTTTCTTTCTTCCTCTCTTTCTTTTCTGGATAAAACCCCTGCTTTTCCATATTATGTTGCAAATAGTTCAATATATATCATCAGAATTAGCTCCAGTTCCTAATTCATGAGCAATTGCAACCTGCTGCCTTGCTACTTTTCAAAAGACATATTAGAAGTTGACACAGTATCTACCAAGGCAGACCATGCATCTGGAGGAGCCCTTCCCGAGTCTTCCAAATAGCTCAAGAGCTCTATAGATCTATCTGTCTTGACAAGGATCAATGGTTCCTGAACTTGTGATATATCCTTCAAACAAGAGCTTGTTCCTGCCAATATTACTAATGCCGACAAAATAATTAGCTAATT